GAGGCGCAGATCTGATAAGTGTTGTCATCTTTTGCCGCTTGGCAGGCACCTTCTGTACAGAATTGCTCAGCTACAAGCAAAGTAGCACGGCAGAGCAAGATGCACGTGAGGCCGAGCCACCGTAGTTGCGATGCTTCTATCATGATCCTCTCAAGCTTCCTGGAGTACAAGGGGCCTGACCATACCTGCAACCAGAGACTCACGACTCTCTATGTACTGTCATCTACTCAACACCCTCATTATGCAGCAAGAACACAGTGGGGTCATCACCTCAGCTAATGTGTCTTGGATAGCACGGGACTAAGTAAGTAGCGCACAATTCGCCGATCGGGATTGGTTTTTGCTTCCGGTCGATGGCTAAGGATCTTTAGCACGGACGACCGCGAAAAAAAACAATACAGACACCATTGCAGATGGACTAGAGAACTGGCACAAGTGGATATTATCGATAAGCTCAGAGACAGTTTCTCGTATCATTTCGTTGTCTCAGTCATCAGTTCTAGCACTCCAACTCGATTATCTTCGTAACAACCTGTATATTCAATGGACAGGACCGATGAAATTCTTTGCCAGAAAACCTGGGGCTATGCTCTCTCCAAGTCTCCGGACATACACAAGCATATCTCTGACTCTTTGGACGCCCTTATTCGAAAAGCGAGCGAATTCTGCCCGATTCACTATCTCGTAATTGTAATGGGCCGTCTGCAAAGGGTGTTAGTGGACCATAAACGAAGTTGCAAAGCAAACTACTCAGGTTTTCGGCCAGGTTTCCTTTGACTTACCGTTTGCAGGAAGCGCAACATTTCCAGGAACGCGGTCCTTCTCCCTAGACATTCAGACATGCCAGAGCCAAAAGCAAGCCTAAGACAGTCGTCCATGCGTTGGAGATCTTTCATGTCGGATTTTAACCATCGAGATGGGTCAAACTTATCTGCTTGGTCGCCAAATGTCTCTGGATCCCTCATAGCCGCACCTAGACACACTCTGGGTCACAAATTAGTGGTTCCCCGTATAACAGGAGAACAAGACATTTACCCAATCAAAGTGCCACCTGGAATTCTGTATTGTGGATAGCCAGAGGGACGCACGCGCTTTTCCCTGAAGAAGGTTGCGGGAGGACAGACACGTAAACACTCATTGATGAGCGCTGACGAACATGGTTGTTCATTCCGATTCAAGGTTGGGGCTATACCCCTCGTCCATTTGTCGAAGTAACTTTTAAGCTCGGATCTGACAGCATTCTGTTCATCCGACGACTGTTCCATGTATTTCGCACACATATGAGCAATAGCTGGAGCTGTCACTGCAGCACTAGCTATTCTAATCAAGATGTTAGCTGGACCGTCGTAGTGACGCGCAATGATGTATGGAGGGCTTACATCTGGACATTGAGGTTGTTAGCCGCTTCCTCAACGCTGAGACCTGCGTCCATGAGACCAGATATGATGTCGGTATATAGTCTTTTCTGTGGGATGCTTCGCGGAGCAGATGCTCGTTTGTTCTCCCC